AGAATTGCGTTTATTAACCCGTCATTTCTGGATGTATGAATGTATGAATGAATGGATGGATGGATGGATGGATGGATGGATGGATGGATGTGTGTCCGCAGCTTTAAGTCGTATCTCCTCCTCAACGAAGCAATATCGATGACTAGTTCCAAAAGCAATTATGTTAAGCAAGTTACGAGGATGAACATAGGCCATAAAAATTAAGGATTTCTTTCATGGATTTCCCGGAAAAGCCAAAAAACCTCGAAAAAAAGCAGTTTTCGGCCCATATCTCGGCAACCAGACCACTTAGCGACTTGAAACATGTACCAATCGATTCCTGCCATAATTTAGAACAATATTGCCGAAGAAAGTTTTCAAAAATATCCTTTCGTTCGGTCACAAATTTTTTTTTTAATTAATTAAAATTTGGACCGAATTAGTAAGCATATTGATCCAACCACACCACACGCGTCATCACGTTCAATAGCTGCGCCATCACGTTCAATGGCTGCGTCATCACATTCAGTAGGCGCGCAATGGTTTTTAGTCATGTAACTCTATTGTAAATAAAACATGTAAAATACTGGAAAAAAAATTAATAAAAAAACGTTTTAATAACTAATCAATGGTTTTACTAACCCTGCTCTTGATTTACGCTACGACAGAGCTATTTTTAGATAACATAAGGAAATTGCGCTTAAATGTCACTAGACTTTTTAATTAACTTGTTTTTTCGGTTGTCGTAAAAGGAATACATCACTTTTTAAATATTCGTTAGATTAACGTGATGGAAACGCATCACTTTTAAAATATTCGTTAGATCGGCGCTCAGAAAAACATCCGTTTTTTTCTAAACTTCACTTAGTGCATTGTTTCGAGTCATGCAGTGCAGACTGCGCATGCGTTACATCCCTGAATTCCGGGCACTTACGGTCAGCTGGATTAAATTAAAAAACTTTGCCGGATGGCTGGAGACTTAAGGCCGGGGCCGGACCCATACCGGTCTCCTTCTGCCGGGGTAGGGAGAGCTGTTCATTGTACGATACTCACAAAGCTGTTCATTGTACGATACTCACACAGCTGTTCATTGTACGATACTCACACAGCTGTTCACTGTACGATACTCACACAGCTGTTCATTGTACGATACTCACACAGCTGTTCATTGTACGATACTCACGCAGCTGTTCACTGTACGATACTCACACAGCTGTTCATTGTACGATACTCACACAGCTGTTCATTGTACGATACTCATACAGCTGTTCATTGTACGATACTCATACAGCTGTTCATTGTACGATACTCACACAGCTGTTCATTGTACGATACTCACACAGCTGTTCATTGTACGATACTCACACAGCTGTTCATTGTACGATACTCATACAGCTGTTCATTGTACGATACTCACACAGCTGTTCATTGTACGATACTCACACAGCTGTTCATTGTACGATACTCACACAGCTGTTCACTGTACGATACTCACACGGCTGTTCACTGTACGATACTCACACGGCTGTTCTTTATGAACAATTGTCTATACGTAATCTACATTCACATACATTTTATTTGTCCTTTTATAACACAAGCCTTGTCAAGAAATTAAAAAACTTTGACCTCATCAAAATGTCATCAATTTATGCAACCTCCCTCCGGCAACACAAATGTCAGGCTAATCATGCTGCACTTGTGTCGGATTAAAGGATATTCCATCTCAGTCTAATCTGTGCGGGGAAATAAATCACCTGACCGAGCATGCGGAAAATGGCCGCTAAGAAAGCTTTCAATTTTAATGAACGGTTAAAAGCAGATAAATGTAAAAAAGAAACGATTTTCTTTGAATGTTTTAAAATGTGTGTTGGGTGTATGGGATCACGTGGTAGTCTTTAAATCACAGGTCCTTAAGACAAGCAATTTACACGTAAATCAATTTGTCGATATCAAGCCCGTCCCGCCTTTCTACAATTAGGTTCATTATTTTTTTTTAAATCATAGAAGTACTTTGTTTTATACGGTTCTTGTAAAGAATGCTCGGCTTTCAACTGTGCTACTTTACCACATAGAATAGTTTTATTTGCAGATGACACTGGTATGGCTTTAGATGACCAATGCTGGGTCATCACGTGATTGGCAAGGCTTAAACTGACCCTAGAACTGTTTTAACTGAATCATGTTGAATTCAAACAGTTTTTTATACAATATTTAGTACAGCTAGAATCTCCTGTTCTGTTATTGATGGGAGAAATCACACAAGTGGTGATAGCTCAATAGTTTGAGATGACAGTTTACAGTACAAGTACCTACAGTACAATTGATACTACCACCTCGATTATTTGACTACTAGCATGGGCTGTCAATTTTCTCATGTTGTGTACGATTGTTTTGTGTGAAAAAAACTAAAGGAATCAACGCTACAATTCGACGTTATTGTGAAAATTAAAGGCAAAAATATTAGGTGTAATGTGACGCACAACAATGTAGGTAGGAGCTGTTAAAGTCGATCGTAATAAAGAAGGGTTAGAGTTTGGTTTAGTCTTAGGTTAGAAGAACGGGTTGTATTATGAATTTGGTTATGGTTTTAGCCCTTTAGAAAGAAAAGGCGAATGTATATAATATATGTTGTGTAAGCAGTGCGCTGAATCGACTTGTAAAAAGTAACATGAATTACAAAAAACCTAAGCAGCTGATAGATAATTGAAAAGATATGGTTAAATCTATGACTAAAGTATCTTAGAACAGTTTTTTATTTATACTTTTAAAATAATAAAATGTGATTTAAATGTTTGATTTTTTTCTTGATTTAAATAAAGTAGAAATACAAATAGTCAAAAAGGGACTACACTCTTACCCAGCATCTTGAGCACCGCCCTCCTCGCCCTCGACACGGCTGACTTTGACTGCTGGGTCTGTATGGAGAAGGTCGAGGACAGGGACGAACTGCGCAGGCGCATGCCGATGAGCAGGTACATCCCCGTGATGACGGCCATGGGGATGACGAAGAAGACGAAGGTGGAGATCTGGAACACGTAGTACATCCTCTGCTGCCACTGGGACGGGATGTTGCACACCACCGAGTCCCCGATGGGCTGCTGGTCCCGGGGGTCGTGCACGAAGGTGAAGACCCGGGTGTGGATGGGGTAAGGCAGGGCGCAGAGCGCGGCCAGGGTCCAGATGGTGATGATGCACTTGATGGCCCGGGACTGACGCGAGGACCGCTGCCCGCGGATGGGGTGGCAGATGGCGATGTAGCGCTCGACGGTGAAGCTGGTGATGGTCAGCACGGACGTGTAGGAGGTCGTCTCGATGATGAAGGCCTTGAAGATACAGAACGGCTCTCCGAAGTGCCAGGGGTAGGCCTCCCAGATGGAGTAGAGTTCTGGGGGCAGGGCTGGGGGTGGAGAAATGATGGGTTAGAGATGTGTTATGATGTGGGAGATAAGATGGGTTAGGGAGATGGTATGAGAGAAAAGATGGGTTAGAGATGGTGTTATGACGAGACAGATAAGATGGGTTGGAGAGATGGTATGAGAGAAAAGATGGGTTAGAGATGGTGTTATGACGAGAGAGATAAGATGGGTTAGGGAGATGGTATGAGAGAAAAGATGGGTTAGAGATGGTGTTATGACGAGACAGATAAGATGGGTTGGAGAGATGGTATGAGAGAAAAGATGGGTTAGAGATTGTAATGTCATGCTTTTAACATAATTAACTCACGGTGGCTTGAGGGAGATAACTATCTCTACCTGCAGTTTACCTAGGGGAGATAACTTTCTGAATATTTCTTTTAAACTAGGATGCATAACTCGCCACAGCCTATTTTTACTTTAGGAAGATAATTGTCTCATTAGTTTGTTCAAAACAGCGTGGATAACTCGCGATCATCTTTTACTGAAGGAGATAACTTGTCATTTAATTTAATTTGGTTAGGTAAATTTCCTCCAATCGCTTCCCTCGTCCTACTCAAAATTTGTCTCTTGCGTTTTTACGGTTCGACTTTTTGCACCAGACAAGATACCGAAGAAGAAACAATTCCGCCCTACTCTAGAGTGTTTTAAAATAATTCTGGTAATTAGTCCAGCATTTAATTACTCTAATTACACAAATATGTGTAAGTATGTTAACGCTGCTAGACGGTTGCTCAAATGCCATTAGCCTGAAATCCAATTGCCTCGTGTTAATAGCACACAAAATAATTATTTTCCAAATCAAATTTTTGACTTAATCAAATTTTATTTTTATTTAATAATGCGCATGCGTCTACATACAAAATTCAACAGACAACAAAAATGATGATTAATTTTTTTTGAATCAAATCACAGGTATATATTATATTCTTTGCTTTCTACATTTTCCTATCGACGTAATACAAATTTTGTTTGACTTTTTCTAAAACAGAACAAAAACAACAATCAAACGACATATAGTTGAGCAGTGTCTGTATGTCCGATAACACTTTACAAAAACATCAACAAAACATATACATAAGCAGTGTCCGTATGTCCCATACCACTTTACAAAAAACAACAACAAAAAACCAACAAGCAAACAACATATAGACTGTATGTCCCATATCACTGTCCCTACTCAACCAACTTTCCATTTTTTTACACTTAAAACAATTTCCATCAAGTTTTTTAAAAACCCTCTCTAATTACGTTGTATCTAACATTTGTTAAATAAATTCTCTAATCACCCAGATTAACCAGGTTTTTCCCCTCATGTTTTCCAAGTTTGATAAGTTGTTTACATTGCCAGCTAAACATCGAACCACACCAGACACCGATGTTTGGCTACATACATGCAAAAAAAAAAATATCAAAACACAAAAACTAAATTAAAATTTAATGGAACTAAACAACATCGTACCAGTTACATTCGGGAAATGTTGTGGTATAATTACATAACAAGAGTTCGCTGAAGTTTGAGACTGTCTGAGGTTTGTTTGTGGTTTTAGATTGAGTTCACGATACAATAGTTCACATTTTCTAGGTATCTACATGAAATAAAATGGCTGTTTTAGGCTTGGGCTATTTTAATAAACCAAAATAATGAAGTCAGTCATCAAAAACAACAGATCTGATCACTGATTTTTGATAGGGCAGTAATGGAATATTTGTATTGCCGACAGCATGGTAGCTACACACGTTTAAGATTCGTTTTTTTTTCTAGGTATAAAAAAATAAAATTGAGACATTATATTAGAGATCGTGGAATCATTATTAAACATAACGAGAGAAAGATAGATCAGAGAGAGAGAGAGAGAGAGGAAGAGAGAGGGAGAGAGAGATATAGAGAGAGAGGGAGAGAGAGGGAGAGATAGAGAAGGAGAGAGAGTGTGAGAGAAAGGGAGAGAGGGAGAGAGAGTGAGAGAGAGAAGATATTTTCATTTTGCTATGTGGAGTAAGGTGTTGGTAAACGTGAACATTTAAATCACAGCAATTTATTTATTTACTAAACAAAAAAATAATTATTTCATCTATTTATAATGTTAGCTTGAATCAGAACATTGCTTTAACTCACTGAAGGTAATATGACTGTCCCTTCTTGATAATAAAGATGTGAAACATTGAGACTTAACATTTATTTATTTTTAAAAGTTTGTTTACTGTTGATTAATTAGAGGTGAAATTATATACCATGAGAAGGGTGGTTTTATTGTCTACACATATTTTCGGCAACACTAAATGAGGTAGGGGTGGGTAAAATGTAACATTTTAAAATTATTTTATATGTACAAAATCAACATAATAAATAAAAACCGTTATGTTTCATGTTATTTTGATCTATAAATAATACACTGTAACAAAGTCCCCTACAAATCTTGTACATAACCAGAACACGAAACAACCATAAAACTCATTTTTTTCCAGCTTTGATTGATTTTTGTTACATGAGTAATTAGGGTTGAAAAATCCACTTATTGTCAAGGGGACGAGAACCATATGCCTGCCATATGCCTGTGTTCTAGCCATGCCCCCAGTAGTCTAGCCAATACAACAGTCTAGTTCAGCCATATGCCCGTGTTCTAGCCTTGCCCCCAGTAGTCTAGCCAATACAACAGTCTAGTTCAGCCATATGCCTGTGTTCTAGCCTTGCCCCTAGTAGTCTAGCCAATACAACAGTCTAGTTCAGCCATATGCCTGTTCTTGCCATGCCCCCAGTAGTCTAGCCAATACAACAGTCTAGTTCAGCCATATGCCCGTGATCTAGCCTTGCCCCCAGTAGTCTAGCCAATACAACAGTCTAGTTCAGCCATATGCCTGTGTTCTAGCCTTGCCCCTAGTAGTCTAGCCAATACAACAGTCTAGTTCAGCCATATGCCTGTGTTCTAGCCTTGCCCCTAGTAGTCTAGCCAATACAACAGTCTAGTTCAGCCATATGCCTGTTCTTGCCATGCCCCCAGTAGTCTAGCCAATACAACAGTCTAGTTCAGCCATATGTTCTAGCCATGCCACCAGTAGTCTAGCCAATACAACAGTCTAGTTCAGCCATATGTTCTAGCCATGCCACCAGTAGTCTAGCCAATACAACAGTCTAGTTCAGCCATATGCCCGTGTTCTAGCCTTGCCCCCAGTAGTCTAGCCAATACAACAGTCTAGTTCAGCCATATGCCTGTGTTCTAGCCTTGCCCCTAGTAGTCTAGCCAATACAACAGTCTAGTTCAGCCATATGCCTGTGTTCTAGCCATGCCCCCAGTAGTCTAGCTAATACAACAGTCTAGTTCAGCCATATGTTCTAGCCATGCCCCCAGTAGTCTAGCCAATACAACAGTCTAGTTCAGCCATATGTTCTAGCCATGCCCCCAGTAGTCTAGCCAAAACAACAGTCTAGTTCAGCCATATGCCTGTGTTCTAGCCATGCCCCCAGTAGTCTAGCTAATACAACAGTCTAGTTCAGCCATATGTTCTAGCCATGCCCCCAGTAGTCTAGCCAATACAACAGTCTAGTTCAGCCATATGTTCTAGCCATGCCCCCAGTAGTCTAGCCAATACAACAGTCTAGTTCAGCCATATGTTCTAGCCATGCCCCCAGTAGTCTAGCCAAAACAACAGTCTAGTTCAGCCATATGCCTGTGTTCTAGCCATGCCCCCAGTAGTCTAGCCAATACAACAGTCTAGTTCAGCCATATGTTCTAGCCATGCCCCCAGTAGTCTAGCCAATACCACAGTCTAGTTCAGCCATATGTTCTAGCCATGCCCCCAGTAGTCTAGCCAATACCACAGTCTAGTTCAGCCATATGCCTGTCTTCTAGCCATGCCCCAAGTAGTCTAGCCAATACAACAGTCTAGTTCAGCCATATGTTCTAGCCATGCCCCCAGTAGTCTAGCCAATACCACAGTCTAGTTCAGCCATATGCCTGTGTTCTAGCCATGCCCCCAGTAGTCTAGCCAATACCACAGTCTAGGTCAGCCATATGCCTGTGTTCTAGCAGGTGTCTAGCCAATACAACAGTCTAGTTCAGCCATATGCCTGTGTTCTAGCCATGCCCCCAGTAGTCTAGCCAATACAACAGTCTAGTTCAGCCATATGTTCTAGCCATGCCCCCAGTAGTCTAGCCAATACCACAGTCTAGTTCAGCCATATGCCTGTGTTCTAGCCATGCCCCCAGTAGTCTAGCCAATACCACAGTCTAGGTCAGCCATATGCCTGTGTTCTAGCAGGTGTCTAGCCAATACAACAGTCTAGTTCAGCCATATGCCTGTGTTCTAGCCATGCCCCCAGTAGTCTAGCCAATACAACAGTCTGATTCAGGGGAGGGAATGTGATATACTGGCCATAAAAGGGGAGAGAACTGGTAATGTAATGAACTTGTATAATTGGTCAGTATCGGCGATCGGATTTCTATGATAAAGCAAGCCTTGAGGGTGAGAGCTCCATATTTAGACGCGGGTTAGACATCGTTAATGAAATACGTAATCGTCCGGACTTTCGGTGTCCAGTAAAACATTTTTTTTATAAATATTCCAGCCTTGAAATTGTAGGGATGTAGTTAAAAATAGCTCTGACGTAAGGTTTACATTTTAATCAGCGTTTTAATATATTCATTAGGACAAGTCGGTTTTAAGTGATTTTTTTTCCAGAATGCTAATTGGAAGTAAGCTGACGTCAAGCATATCTTGTAAATTTTAATTAAATAAATAATTAGTAGGGAGGATGGATTACCGGAATGCAATTATTTTCTCTGGTACTAGAGAGATAGATAGAGAAAATGTGGTAGTGTCGTAGAGTGAACGAGTATAAACTACAACGTTTCAATACATTTATGTATTAGTCGTCATTAAGATAACCCTGAGTACACTCAGCTCTTTTAAGTACCTAACTTAATTTAAGAAAAGTAAAGCAGGTCCTGAATATAAGTGACCAAATTATACCATCGTACGCCGAGAG